TGTGTGTGTGTGTGTGTGTGTGTGTGTGTGTGTGTGTGTGTGTGTGTGTGTGTGTGTGTGTGTGTGTGTGTGTGTACTGTACTGTAAATCATTAGCCTTGCAAGCTGTTGAATGGTGTAATCCCAGCACAAGTTGCTATGTCTAACATAGCTGTTCGCTATCATCGCTTCCGCGATGGGCATGTCTGAGGTCTGAGGTGTGTGTGTGTGTGTGTGTGTGTGTGAGTGTGTGAGTGTGTGTGTGTGTGTGTGTGCATGTGTGTGTGTATGTGTGGTGTGTGTGTATATGTATGTATGTGTATATATGTGTGTGTGTGTATGTATGTATGGTGTACATCCTCTGCAGGATGTGGTGTTGGTATGTTATAGCGTGGTGGATCGGCAATCTTTCAACAATACCCCATCTGTGAGTGCATCCGTGTATTATTTTCTTTGGTATGCTATGATATCTGTGTACACTGTAGCTCTTGAAGTGACTGGTAAATACCCCCCCCCCCCCCCACACACCTCTCTTTATCTTTCTCTCTTTTCTGTGTGTGTGCATATGGGTGTGTTTGTCTCTCTCCCACTCCTTCCTTGACACACCACACACATGCATAAACACAAGCACACTTGTTGCTTACACACACACACACACACACACGCACACACACACACACACACACACAAATTAACTACAACACAGAGCAGCTTGCGGTTAGGAGGGTGCTGGCCAGCGAAGTGAGAGGCTACAGAGAGAGCAGGATCTTGGCGGAGCCAAGAGGATAGTCACGTCCGAGGGACGAAGACCGAGAGCCCTGAGTAGCCGGGAATGAGCATGGCCAACACCCCTTTATTTACTTTATCAAAGTAAATGAGAGATGAGAAATGGGAGGTGGGTGGGTGAAACACAATGATCTGACAAGAGTGATCCGCACACAGAACGAATCGAAATATATAACTAAAACACTACGAGCAAGGAAGAATGATTGTCGCACAGAACGGATCGAAAATATTATTATTAACTGGTTTGAGGGAAACAGACAAACGGGAAAAGTCTGAAGAAAAAATTGACTGTCACCATCAGGACTCGAACCAGGGACCCTCGCTTGTAGCCAGCGATGCTCTAACCACTGAGCTATGATGTAGTCGTCATCCAAGTAGAGGCCGTTCACGTTCAACATTTTCTTCAGACTTCGTAACTCACACTTCCTGTGAATCCACACAGGCGGGTGGGACGCAGCCCTCACTGTAACCCACACACTTCACGTACAAACTAGCACGCGGGGAGCCCCAAGTCATAAAATACTAACTGGTTTGAGGGAAACAGACAAACGGGAAAAGTCTGAAGAAAAAATTGACTGTCACCACCAGGACTCGAACCAGGGACCCTCGCTTGTAGCCAGCGATGCTCTAACCACTGAGCTATGGTGTAGTCGTCATCCCAGTAGAGGCCGTTCAACATTTTCTTCAGACTTCGTAACTCACACTTCCTGTGAATCCACACAGGCGGGTGGGACGCAGCCCTCACTGTAACCCACACACTTCACGTACAAACTAGCACGCGGGGAGCCCCAAGTCATAAAATATTAACTGGTTTGAGGGAAACAGACAAACGGGAAAAGTCCGAAGAAAAAATTGACTGTCACCACCAGGACTCGAACCAGGGACCCTCGCTTGTAGCCAGCGATGCTCTAACCACTGAGCTATGGTGTAGTCGTCATCCCAGTAGAGGCCGTTCAACATTTTCTTCAGACTTCGTAACTCACACTTCCTGTGAATCCACACAGGCGGGTGGGACGCAGCCCTCACTGTAACCCACACACTTCACGTACAAACTAGCACGCGGGGAGCCCCAAGTCATAAAATACTAACTGGTTTGAGGGAAACAGACAAACGGGAAAAGTCTGAAGAAAAAATTGACTGTCACCACCAGGACTCGAACCAGGGACCCTCGCTTGTAGCCAGCGATGCTCTAACCACTGAGCTATGGTGTAGTCGTCATCCCAGTAGAGGCCGTTCAACATTTTCTTCAGACTTCGTAACTCACACTTCCTGTGAATCCACACAGGCGGGTGGGACGCAGCCCTCACTGTAACCCACACACTTCACGTACAAACTAGCACGCGGGGAGCCCCAAGTCATAAAATATTAACTGGTTTGAGGGAAACAGACAAACGGGAAAAGTCTGAAGAAAAAATTGACTGTCACCACCAGGACTCGAACCAGGGACCCTCGCTTGTAGCCAGCGATGCTCTAACCACTGAGCTATGGTGTAGTCGTCATCCCAGTAGAGGCCGTTCAACATTTTCTTCAGACTTCGTAACTCACACTTCCTGTGAATCCACACAGGCGGGTGGGACGCAGCCCTCACTGTAACCCACACACTTCACGTACAAACTAGCACGCGGGGAGCCGCAAGTCATAAAATATTAACTGGTTTGAGGGAAACAGACAAACGGGAAAAGTCTGAAGAAGTATTATTATTATTATGTATTATTTATTATACGCATTCCCGCGGCAGCGTCAACCAAGCAGTTATGCTTGATCCACACGTTCGCTTATGCTGGACATTGAAACAAAGCAGATGTAGACAGCTCCTAGAGAATGGGGCTCTACAAAACCAATGATCGAAGTTAGTCCTTCAGTAACATGGAGCGTCGTAAAATTGGTCTCATTGGAAAAATGTCATCACTATTGTCTCCTCATGTAGCATCATGGTCAATGGGTGGCCAGATAATTATACGTATGAGGTTGAGTTGCCAGATAATTATTAAAAGATTCAAATAGTAATATTATTATAGAATGGTTGTTATGAGTTTATAAGGGTGCCATGGCTGTTTCTACTCGTGACGAGGGTGTGCACAAACACTCTTCACCAGCGCGTTCCATGCTGGACGGTCCACAGCAATCCGCTCCAGACGGCGCAAGTCCTCAACACTCCGCAGGTGTCCATTGTTCGACTGGGACAGATCGGTGTGGAGCTTTATTGGTAGTGTCACCCTCGGCCTCCCACGGTACCTACCCTCGGGTGCCTGAAAGTATTGCTCCATGCTCAATCGTGCTGGCGTGTCCTTACCCAGGCGAAGCACATGCCCGAATAGACTCCAGCGTGAATTTCGGATCAAGTCCGACACCGGCTCCACTCCACATCGGGCATACAACGCCAAATTACTAATCTTCTGTGGCCATGTGATGCCGAGAAGTGACCTGAGTTACCTTCTATGGAAAGCGTCCAGGGAGCGTTCGCTAGCAACCGTCAGGCCCCAGGTGCCTGAATTATAGAGAAGTATCGGCATGATAAAGGCGCAGTACAACCTCATACGCAGAGGCTCTCGGATCAGTCTTCGGCGCTTCCAAAGAGACCACATGGATCGGAAGGCAGCCTCGGCCAATTGCCTGCGACGTGTCACATCCTCAATGTCGCCCAGGAGTGAGCCCAGCTTTCGGGATGTCCTCCAGCGCTCGTCAATTCTGTCTACAGATCGACCCAGCTCTGTCCACTCAGTTTTGGTGTTGTTGACTCTCAGAGCCCACTGCCCGAGAGTGTGGTCTATGACCGGTTCGAGCTCTGTGAGCCATTGACGACTAAGGCTTATGAAATCGGTGTCATCTGCGTAGACAAGCTCAAATGGAATGTTGGTGCTTTGATCCATTGGCGGTCTGTTTCGTGCCACCTGGGTGCTCCTCAGATCTCTCAGTGCTGCCTCTAAGTATATAACAAACAACACCGGGGAGAGAGAATCACCCTGCGGGGTGCCAATTGTAGTTTCAAGGGACTCTGATACTGCCCTGCCGATGCGTACCTGCAGAGTTGTGTTGGTCAACAGCACTCTAACCAGCCGAACATCATCCTCCATCAGGAAAGACTCAAGAACTGTCAACAGTTTGTCATGACGTATACAGTCGAATGCTTTGGACATGTCGATTCCAAGAATGGTCATTTCCCGCCGATAATGCTGACATGTTGCTGCAAACCATCTGTGGCTCCAAACAAGGTCCGCTGTAGATCGGCCTGCTCTGAAACCACTCTGCGTCGGAGACAAGTACTCACCGACTTTCGACGATATTCTTCGCAATGTAATAATGGAGAGCGTTTTGCGTAATGATGTAAGGAGGACAATAGGGCGCAGATTTCCAGGTGGTCCAACCGTCTTTCCTGGTTTCTGCAACGGTACCAGTGTGCCACATCCCAGGTCAAGGTGCTGGTGAGTTGTGAACATGCTGTTGAACAGACAGGCAATGTGAGGTGCAAGGTTTTCTCTTCCATATTTCAAGAGTTCGCCTGGGACTCCATCTGGGCCAGGGGATCTTCCATTATTCAGTTTTTTCAGTGCATTGGAGACCTCAGCAGATGAGATTTGTCTTTGGAGGCTTCTTGGGCGACCGGTGAATGGCTCGACGCCTGCATCCACATTCCCACGAAACTGGTCATGGAAGTGGCTCCGGACAGTAGATGCCGCCTCCTGGTCATCGAAAATATATAGCAGAGCAAACTCTAGCAAGACATACAACGATGCATGCCACCCACCTTGAGCTACGAGCAAGCGTCATCATAACGCCGCCACATCGGAGGCGAGCGACACGCATGAACGCCAAACTTTAGTATGACACGTTGAGTGCCCACGACGCATGCCGCCTACGTTGAGTGTCACGTTGTATGAATGTCGCGTTGAGTGTCACGTTGTACGACACATAGAATGCCACGATGCATAGAGTACCATATGAGCACGTACAGCGCACGTTCATAGCAGCATAGTTTGAGTGGTAGCACGAAGCAGCCGCGTGCACCCATTTATCTGCATTATTACTATAATGCTACACACACACGCACGCACATACGTATACACACACACGCGTCACACAGACATACACAAACACTCTCTCCTTCTCTTTTCATCTCCCTTACTCTTTCTCTTCTCCAGGATCTTTTTTCATGACAATTTCGACGGTAATACGGGTAACATAACAGCGAGTCCATGATCAGGTTTTCCGCTTAACTCTTCTCTGTGCGATTCCTCTGTGTCTCATGTACAGTTTGCGGAGATGATGCGCACGCACTATGGTCAGTCTCTTCAAATAGCCCTGATTGGCCTCAAGAATGATCTACGTCGAACCTCGGATCTTGGCACAGGACAAGCGAACGAAACACAGGAAGTGAGCGGACCAAGGCAGGATGCAAGTGGAGCACATGAGGCAAGCAGAGTACGGGATGGAAGTGGAGCAGGAGAGGACGGTGGTGGCAATGGTGGTGATGGTGATGGTGGTGATGACACGATGCAAGTGACGTTAGAGGAAGCGACGGCCATGTCCTCTCGGATATGTACTGTTTATCATGCTGTGTGCTGTGCTCGGAATGTGGATGAAGTAAAACAGGTGAGAAATCCCATTGCACACACTCTTCTTATTGATAATCGTACACCCTCCATACCTTGCTATGTCTATTGGTGTTGTTGTAGTTTGACATCTATTTGATGTGAAGTGGAAATTATGATAACATTATGCCTTCCAGTGCCCTTATGCGCAACAGTGTGTGCTTGTTTGTGTGTGTGTGTGTGTGTGTGTATGTGTGTGTGTGCATGTATGTATGCGTGTGTGGGTGTGTGTGTGCGTGCATGTGTGTCTGTGTGTCTTTGTGTGTGTGTGTGCACATGCACATGCACACGTGCATCGCCAGGTCTGTACAGAGGTGTTTCAAGCTGTGTTGGTGGCGCTGCAGAAGAGCCAGCCGCACTCCTCGCAGAAGTCCTGCGTGTGCATGTAGTCTGTGCAACACTCTAGCCAATGCTGTCGTTCTCTTCGTGCCGCCAGACCTGCCAGCTCCCCAGCCAGCACGCAATGGAAGCTTATCGTCAATTCTGTGATGAAAGCGGTGAGGCAGCAAGCGTGTAGCTCATGACGGGCACCACAGCCACGTGTACACACCAAAAACTTTCCGCTTTCGTTCATCATGTATTCAGAATGTTTTCGCCTAATGGCCTGGAGATCGCAGTTCTGTGCATGGAGTAGTAAAGTAGCAGCAAATTACTACTCCCTGATTCTGTCCCTGCTGTGAGAGCGTGATGGAATGCCACCAAGGACATTGGAATAACTAGACCAGCCTTTGTCAGCCAGGATAGTAATGTTTTATCCACATCCAGAGACCAAACTAATTGTGGCGTTGCGGGTCTGTCACTAAGGTGAATCTGTGACCTACGTCTCGTTACGGCCTGAATGCTATTTCATTTTTGGCAGCAGACAGATGGAACATGCTTCCACCCGGATGTCGTCAAGCTAAGCCCCTTTCTGCATTTGTCACAAGCACCAAGTCATTCCTAGGGTTCCCAGTAAAAAGGCAACGCCTGTTGGGAGTTCCCTAGTAAAATGATAAATTATACTACAACTACTACCGTGGTGAATCTGTCACCATGGTGAATTTGAAATACTGTAACCTGCAGTGGGTTTATACATGTTACTTTGCAATTGCAAGTTTCGTTTTGGAATTAATTTTCGCTATATTCCTTAGGGTCCGTCCATACATTTTTTTTTTTTTTTTTTTTTGGTAAACCGGCCTCTTGTACGGGCAGAATTTAGTAACACAGTGATACAATAAAAACAAGTACCAGTAGTTACATACATGGACCATACGAGAAAAAGCAATGATGACGAGGCATAAACAAGTGTCTAGTGCTGTATGGCAGCTTCCGAGACAGCGAGTCGAGCGGATGACTCAGCCACCTCCGGGTGCGAATACAGCCGTCGTGCACCACGCAGGCAAGCCACGCCTGCATGGAGAAGGGCGAAGCTGAACCTGCAGCGGATCCATGCCATCACTGCAGAGTATGGCTCACCAGATTTGTCGGAGACCATTGCAGCTATTCTCTTGAGGAGAGCGGCAGCAGCTCGACCAGTACCACCAGTTGCAGCGAAAACCACAGGGATGAAGGTTCCACGCTCGACCTCCTTGACGCGCTGTTCGTATCGCCTCCGTTTTTCACGTTCATGACGCTGGTAGCAAGCGGTGATGGAAGAGGATCGATTTGAGGGAGCAAAGGGGTTGAAAACCCGAATATCGAGAAAGACTCTCTCAAACCGACCTCCCCAAACACCACTCGCCGCAACATCAAGTCGAGCCTGGTCTTCTGTGGAGGCAGTCTTGTAGCGGAGCTGCTCACCAGAGAGCGGTTGTAAGTGTGGCTCGATAGCGACACTATTGGCGACACGTTTCAATAGCGAGGCAGTGATGTCCCGCACCTCATTGTGTCGAAGTGACGGGAAACCTCCGGTGCTGCATGTCAGGGCATGGGCTACTGTGAAGCTGGCTCCACAGACACAGGTTGACGGTAAGCGAGAAGGCCGCCAGCCATAGCGCAGTGCCAAACCATCGCGGAACTCGCTTTTGGATAGCACAAATCCATGACGGGATAGCGGACGACAAGTAAGCCAGCTGGAGGCGCCAGGCTCACTTGCCAACTGAATTGTGTGCTGCAAAGTGGGCGATGCGTCGGCAGCGAAGCCACGGATGTCGGTCTTCGCTTTCTGGCGGTGATCTGCACGCTGTGACGCTTTGGCTGAGGCAACGCTGGCAAGAGCTTCCGTCACACTGAAGTCTTGGTCGAGGATGTTGGTGGTGAGCGCCGCTGTGATCGCGCGGGATGAGGCGTATTGGGTTGTTAGAGATGTTGGATTGACGATGCCCAGGCCACCATCCCGGCAAGGGAAGGCAAACAGCCGTCGCAGCTCCAGACTGACTTCTTCTCCAGTCAGGGCTGGCAGCAGCTTGGTAACAATGGCGTGTTCCAACTGATCAAGACCACTGGACGCATCCGGCAGAACACGACACAAGAATGTCCAGCGGCATGAGAGAGCACGAACAAAAGTAGTGTACGCTGCCTGGGGCTGGGTACGAGCGAAGGATGAGAGTGTCTCAATCTGCTTGCACCATTCATTGGCCTTCTCCTGGATGAACCCGTGGATGTAGTCGGGCGTGCCAATAGCGGAACCCAGGTAGCGGTTGCCGTCAGATGTTACTTGGATGCCAGTATCAGCGAAGAGGCGCACTGCGTCGTCGTAGGCATGTGGCTTGACCACAAGCACAGACTTCCGGGCATTGAGATGATATCCGTAGGACGGACCTTCAGCCTGCAGCTTGTCCCACCACGATCGAATTGCTACCAGACGACCACCTGCAGATGAATCGTCCGCGTACCATAGCTGGCTGGTGTCCGGGGTTGCTACCGCTCTCACGAGTGGGAGGATGCCGAGGGCATAGAAAGGCATTGCCAGGGGGTCCCCCTGGGTTGTGCCTTCTTGGGACAGAATACACTCCCCTGCCACATACAAGTTGCTCGGCCGCCGGTACGAATTGATCACAACTGCTGCAAGAGAGGGGCATTGGTGGCGAATATTTCGGATGGCCACATTGCGGTTCAGGTTATTGAACGCATTGGCCGCGTCCGCCATAATGATGCCCTCCGTTTCCTCTTGGGCGTAGACTTGGTGCATGGCATGAATGGCTGCCTCTATGCCGAAATCCTGGCCACCACAGAGTTGCAAACTTCCCGCTGCTTTCTGGATGTCGTCGCTGATGACGATCAGGATGCTTCGGCCGATAATGCGGCGCACTACCTCCCCGATCCCGATCGGTCTCACCCCTGGGTTCTTGTCCAGAGGGACCAAACGGGAGGCGAGATAGGCCTCCAAGGCCAGCGGATCGACGAACTGGGTAGCCAAACGGCGAGCACATAGGACTAGTGCATCACAGAGAGAGTCCGAAGCATCTGCAAAGCTGGTTGCCATCCATCTCCATGTGTCCGCGTCTATGCCTGATGGGCCCGCAGCACGTCCATACATATCCAAGCTTTTTCACAAAACGAAATATTTTCGTTATGGGATGGGAAGGGGTTGACCACTTTCGTTTCAGAAAACATTGACAGTCAGACCTCGCTTATCAGGTCCTCGTTTATCCGGATCCCTCGCCATCCGGAAGAAACTTGTTGTTTGCCGATGTGCATCATCCCGTACGTTACGCATACAACATAACCGGACCTCGCGATCCGCATACCGGTGCATGATTTTGTGTACAAACCGATCGAAATATGTACAAAACGCTTCGTCCCATCCGGTTGCACGTGGCTTGCAGAAGCTAGGATCAGGGAGTTGTACAAACAAATGAGGTCCTTGACCTGCTGCATGCATGTGGGTAGTGTTGTGTATAGTGTTTGTCGCCGTATTGTCCCTCTCCGTATTGTCACTCTCCGTATTGTCCCTCTCCGTATTGTCCCTCTCCGTATTGTCTCTCTCTCTCTCATCTATTAATATGCATGCTCGTTGGAAATAAATCAAAAGTACACCACAGACAGCACTCAGTTGAATGTACTTGTCATTTTTCTCGCTTGTTTTACATATTGTGCACGCTAGTTGTACTGCATAGGACCCGTCTTCGTGTATCTACGATAGCACTCCTTTTGATATGCCACATGCACGTACAGTATTATGTGTGTTCCGTTATCCGGTTCCCTCGCCTATCCGGATATTTTTGTGAAAAACGGATGTGTGCAGTTTTAAAAGCGAGGTCTGACTATACAATGTATAAGATGATACTAAGAATGTTTTAAAAAAATAAAAAAATTCACGGTTCGCGTGAGACTCGGCTGGAAACCGAGTTTTCCGCATCCGTAGGAACGCCACCACCCTTCAAGGATCAAGGCGGAGATGCAGCTCCTAAAGCGGTGGGAGGTGAGTAGATCAGCTCACCAGCAAGTGGTCAAAGACCGAAAATCCCATTCACTGCATCCATGTAACAATCTTACTATAACAAAAATTGGCTGATGAGCAATACTGGCTTCCTGGTGATGGTTATGTTATGACCGAAACGTTGAATTGAAATTTTTCCGAAAGTGCAATAACTAGGCACAAAACTGACAGAGTACTGAGACATTCGACGTCCTGACACCTAGCTTCAACACATCTCCGTAGCGCTAACCGACAGCCTTCCAACTTGGAAGGTTCAAGGTTATGGAAAGACCAAAGAGGGGAAGGCAAGCGCAACGAAAACGAGCAAAAGCTACAGTCCCAATGGAACAAAGTCAGTTTTGTGCCTAGTTATTGCACTTTCTGACTGTATTATAGTATCCAGTTACTGTGATGGAGAGTTGCTCTTAACTCGTACCATATTATGTCCTTTTCCTTTTTACATTTATTTATGGCTCAAAATCTGAGTTTTGAAATTTTTCCTGTCATGAATTTGTGAAAAGCAGTGTTCTAAATTTACTACAGTATAACAGTGTAGAAAAAGACCAATCGTAGTGCTGCCTTACTAACAAGAATACGGTGTACAGTCAACTTCGCTAATAACGACGGCGGATATAACGACAATTCGCGAATAACGACAGAATTTCCATGCCCAGAGCCCATCTAACTGTAACACGTTTAATGAGACTACGGGTATAACGACATGTCACGGATAAGGACACTTTTCTCATGCCCCGCCGCCGAGTGTCGTTATACGCAAAGTTGACTGGACTGTATTGTTGTTCTACAGAGCTCATCACAACGTGCACAAGAATGGCATTGAATGGTACGGCAGTGACGCAGTCATACTTAACATGCATACACACACACACACACACACACACACACACACACACAGTACCGCAGTGACGCAGTCATGCTGAACATGCACACACACACACACACACACACACACACACACACACACACACACACACACACACACACCTTGACCTTTCTTTGACGCCCATCGCCAGAGGCGATGATAGCAATGCTACGGCAGAAGCCATAGCAACTTGTGCTGGGATTACACCATTCAACAACTTGCAAGGCTGAAGAATTGACCGTCACTATTCAGCCTGGTCTACACCATACAGCTATTTGGAGTGACATTTTCTGGCCAGTGAATCCCTATTTTTGGTCTTTTCATTTTTTTTTCCCGCACACACATCACACCACATACTCCGGCATGCACTGGCTGTGGGTAACCACCCAGGAGAATGAAAGAAAAGTCAGGAAGAGTCTGAGAAAGAGAAGAAAGACGTGTGTGACCATAATCGTCGGGAATCGAACCCGCAATCTATCGATTGGAAATCGCTGCACATACCACTGCACCATATGGGACACACACACACACACACACACACACGCACACACACACACACACACACACACACACAGAGTACAGCAGTGACGCAGTCATGCTGAACATGCATACACACCTGGTCCTGGTAAACACTGCCATTACGGTCACGTGTCCCCTTACGGAGCCGACAATATAGAACGACGAGCGGGACCATGTTCGAGAGAGCCATCTCCAGCAGCTATGGATCTGGCTTATCATCGGAAACGATTCCTCTCACGGCTGCCGCTAGAACTGGTCCATCACTCTCCACAACAGAGCGAACATTCCATGAGCCAACGCTCAGAGTCGTTCCAAGTCGTCGTCTTCGTGCGGTAGTTTGCTCCACTCGCGGGCTTGCAAAGCCTCGCGAAGGACTCCGAGGTGGGGGCGACGAGGAGAGTGTCGGCATCGTAACTATCCGACCAAGTCTCCTGTCGGTGAATACCCCACCTCACACACACACACACACACACACACACACACACACACACACACACACACACACACACGTACACACACACACACACACACACACACACACACACAGTACCGCAGTGACGCAGTCATGCCGAACATGCATACACACACACACACATCACCAATAGAACGGTTTGGTTTCTACTTCGACTTTTTCATTTATTTTATTTATCAGTACAACATCTCCTTGGGCTTGGCTCGCCGTAAGACGGCCAATAGTGAGAATCACCAGAACAAGAGATCGAGAGGTGCTACTTCGAAGTAGAAAAGAAGATCAGTGAGTTAGAGAACATGTAAAAGCCAGCCAGCCAGCTATGCAAGGGGGGGGGGGGAGGGCGGCGAGGGGAGGAAGAGGGATTATTCTCAGCAATGGTGGCGCAGCAGCGCACACACGCAGGGCAGCTAAGCCCAGTGTTGTCGTCTACAGTTAGCTTAGGCTAGAGGAGGGTTTGAAAAGACCCTCGATTACGTCATGGACGCGCAGCTTGAACTACTGTTTTATATATATTTTTATGTCATCGCATAGCAGGGCAGCCCATGCATATCGACATAACACCAAACAAACAGAATGATGTCATCGCATAGCAGGGCCAGGCAGCCCAACCATGCATATAGACATAACACCAAACAAACAGAATGATGTCATTGCACAGCAGTGCAGCCATGCATATAGACATCACATTTTTTAAACATAAAATTAATGATGAACATACTGTATCAGATGGTTATCATGCAAACAATGTATTTTTTTATTTTTGCTTGTATTCTGCTTGCCGCCCGCACGCCTTGAACCACTTCTAAGGCCAAACATTATGATGTCATTGCACCGCAGAGGCATCAGAAATAAATCATATCCCTTGCACAGCAGAGGCATCAAGAATAATTGGACATGACATGTATGGTTGTTGGAAATTGTTGGGAGCTCATAGAGCAAACTGTGACAATGATGTGACGGAATAGCTTCGGCATCCCATAATTATTATAATAGCCATGCACGGCTGGGATTACCTCACAGGCCAAATGAAATGATGTCATTGCATAGGAGGTCATGTCATCCCATGACACCTGGATCACACACAATGATGTCAAGGCATAGCTGCGTAGGGCGGCAGTATCATGTACACAACCCAGGCGCAACGGCACCAGAAGAAGGCAATATATTATGACCTCATGCATCAGCGGCAATGATGTCGTGGTGTGTGCATGCAGCGTGCAAATTCCTACACAAGGTGGCTGTACACACGGACGGTGGAAAATATATAGCGAGGAGAATTGCAGCACCAAAACAAAAATAAAATTACTGCCATGACGAGGGACTGACAAAAGGTTCAGAGGTTTTTTTTGGCTAATTGCACGGCAATATTGAATATTTTTTTGTTGGAGACATAGGGGAAGTGCGCCCTGGTACACGTACCATTTTAGTAAATTGCGGACAATGAGAACAATTGCCAAATGTTCCTCTTTTTTTTGGAGCACTGTTGAGAGCGAAACTTCAGGAATTCCGGGATATTTTGTAATTTAATTACCATGCAATGGTTTGGATGTGAAACTCGTGAGCCATTTCAGCATCGTGTTACTTCAGCGGTGTGACAGCGACATTACAGTGTTGTTATGTGAAGTATCTGCAGTGCGGAGGCATACAGATCTGCCACCACCGCAGTACTACAGCTACGGGAGGGAAGTTTGCCTTCGGCTTGTGCTCCAGAGAGCAGTGCGTAACGCACGCACGCGCGCACACATGCACATGCACACACACACACACACACACACACACACACACACACACACATGCACACACCTCCTGCTTGTGAACATGCACACACATATTTATCTACAAACACACACATACAGCAAGGAGCTTAGGCATAATCCGAGGGAGAAGGGGGGGGGGGGGGGGGAGCATTATATTGATTGTTTCTACTTGATAGCACAGCATACATGAGCAGTGATTGATGGATTTTTTCGCTTTTATGTTTTTCCTTTTTTTGGTCATGAGGTCATGTCATCCATTTTTTTGCCCATGGTTGTGGTCTCGCCGAAGCACATTCTGTTGAGTTAGACCAATACCATCCAGTTTTTGTTTTTTTTGGTTGCAGACAAGGTGAAGTCATGTCATCCATTTCTTGAGCCCATGGTTGTCGTCTCGCCGAAGCACATTCTGTTGAGTGAGACCAATACGACCCAGTTTTTGGTTTTTTTGGTTGCAGACAAGGTGAAGTCATGTCATCCATTTTTCTTAAGCCCATGGTTGCGGTCTCGCCGATGCACATTCCCTTGAATCAGACCAATGCAGCAGATAGAGATGACGCCGTCAAACACTGGTCACCACTGTGCCAGCATTTGGATAACCGTTGGTCGTCAACGAGGGTAGGTTATCCGGTCAAGTGCCATCCGTGGTGCTGCAGCAGCTGAAACGCGTTGCCCAGATGGATTCTTGGTTGCAGTTGAATCCAACTTGAACCGCACCGCACCGCACTCTGCAAGATGGTGGAAAGTCATGCAAGCAATAGCACTCTCATCCAAAGAATGTTATCGGAGGCCAATCTCCCCAGAGTTCACAGGGGGCACAGGGGGTGAACATGCAAAGCTTGAGACAATAGTCTACTACTGTCAGCTGAGAGAGACAACATGAGCTTTGTTTCTTGCAAGATCCTATTCTCTTTCACTTCAGATTATTCTTTCTCTCTGTGACGAGAATGGTCTTACAGACTGCTTCTCCCATTCCCGTTGGCCTTCCACTCACATAATTTCACTCTTTCTGCATGCTCTGTATGGTGATCCCCGACTTACTAAAATAGTATTCATGCATAATGGACAACTATTACTCTACACATTTCATTTCTACACATCCTTATTCTACCTCCCACACCATACTCTAAACACAGCGGGGAGTCGAATACGACTCCGTGCATTTGATTATGAAAAGATGAAGCTGGCCACGACGAGGGTTTCCCCTAGCAGATCTATTCTTATTAGGCGGATGTCTGTTATTGTAAAACTGGAAAGTCTAACGTTTTAACGACCCAACTTTTTTCGTTATTTGAAGAAACGTTATCGTGACCCGGTTTAAGATGTCTGTGTAAAGATGCGCATACATCTATGTATGTTCTTTACGTTTTACAAACATCGTTTTAAACTTTCTGCACGGTATCATGCCAAAATTACAAAACGATAAATTTTGGTCGCTAAACTTTCCGGTTTTACAGTGTAATCACACCAGTAGTAGACATAAAATGAATCCCAAAATCCAATCCTACAAACACACTGACCCAGACCCAGTGGCTGCTCCTTTGACCATTGCTGAGATTATACTCATGCAGCCAGAGAGTGCCGTCGCTGGCTGTACAAACACCAGGATTGGGCAGGTCTGCAGAGTGTGCCGTCGCTGGCTGTGCAAACGCCAGGATTGGGCAGGCCTGCAGAGTGTGCCGTCGCTGGCTGTACAAACACCAGGATTGGGCAGGCCTGCAGAGTGTGCCGTCGCTGGCTGTGCAAACACCAGGATTGGGCAGGCCTGCAGAGTGTGCCGTCGCTGGCTGTACAAACACAACGATTGGGCAGACCTGCAGAGAGTGCCGTCGCTGGCTGAACGAACACCAGGATCGGGCAGGCCTGCAGAGAGTGCCGCCGCTGGCTGTACGAACACCAGGATTGGACAGGTCTGCAGAGAGTGCCGCCGCTGGCTGTATGAACACCAGGATTGGGCAGGCCCGCAGAGTGTGCCGTTGCTGGCTGTACGAACACCAGGATTGGGCAGGCCCGCAGAGTGTGCCGTCGCTGGCTGTACGAACACCAGAATTGGGCAGGCCCGCAGAGAGTGCCGTCGCTGGCTGTACGAACACCAGGATTGGGCAGGCCTGCAGAGAGTGCCGTCGCTGGCTGTACGAACACCAGGATTGGGCAGGTCTGCAGAGAGTGCCGTCGCTGGCTGTACGAACACCAGGATTGGGCAGGCCTGCAGAGTGTGCCGTCGCTGGCTGTACGAACACCAGGATTGGGCAGGCCCGCCGGAGCCGGTCCGCAAGGTCAGCTTATTACCGGATCAACTTGTTAGCCAGCAAAACAGTCCTGTCGACTACTGTGGAGGTCATCTGTGTACCCGCCATATCAAACACAGACTGTATGAAAGGGTACGTTACTGCCAGACCAATCAAAAACTGCTTCCGGCGCTACTGGCGAGTACTGTAAACCCGGAAAGTTTAACCACCAAAAAGTGTTTAAACGTTTTTGCAATTTTGGCATGATAACGTGCAGAAAGTTTAACGATGGCTACCTGGCCACCCGTTTGTATGCACATCTTTACACAGACATCTCAAACCGGGTTCACGATAACGTTTCTTCAAATAACGAGAAAGAAATGGTTGTTAAAACGTTAGACTTTGTGACTCGTTGGACGTTCCGGTTTTGCAGTACAGTAAAGCCTGCCTCTTTGACTACAGCGCTGCCATGACTACAGCGCTGCCATGACTACAGCACTGCCAGGCACCGAAGAACGACCGCCAGGCTAGAATTTCACCAAGCACAGCATACCAATGTATACACGCATGGTGAAGTCCCTCTGGCTTTCAAATATGCTGTAATAAGCCCTCTCTTCAAAGCTGGCGATCCATCGGTAGCTGCAAATTATCGTCCTGTGTCGCTCCTGCCGATCGTATCCAAACTACTCGAGAAGATAGTCCAGAAGCAACTTGTTGCACATCTGGAGCGATCATGTGCCATACCACCGACTCAGTTTGCCTTCCGCCGTGAGCACTCCACAGAGGACGCCCTAGTTGTAGCAACAGATGCCATCTTAAAGGCCCGGGACGACAAGTTGACCACAGGTGTCTGCCTAATCGACATGTCAAAAGCCTTTGACAAGGTCAATCACAGCCAACTGGTCCGGGACCTATTCGATCTTGGCCTGGACAATGCCTCCCTTCGCTGGTTCTGCAGCTACTTAAGCGATCGAACCCAGCAAGTGCGCATTGGCCCCACCTACAGTGTTGCTGCTAAGTGCTCATCTGGTGTACCTCAGGGCTCGGTCCTAGGTCCGATCCTGTTTAGCATGTACACCCGTGATGTCCCTGCCATAGCCCATCCTGCTCCATCTCTGCAATTTGCCGATGACATTGCAGTGCACTGCCACAGAAAATCAGTGCTAGCCACATCAGCCTGCCTGTCAGGGGCCGTCACCAACGTCGCTGACTGGCTCAAGCATCGACATCTGCTACTAAATGACAAGAAGAGCCAGGTCCTGTCAATTGTACCACAACGCAATGCGGGTCAGCATGTCGCTGTCCGCTGCAACCAGACAGAGCTTCCCCTGAGCCCAACAGCAAGGTACCTCGGCGTGACCCTTGACGCCGCTGTGAAGTGGGACCCCCATGTTGACGCGATGGCGAAGAAAGTTGTGCAGAAGATTGGAGCATTGTGGCGGTCCCGCAGATGTCTGAGCCTCAGTAGTCGCATCCAGTATGTGAGGTCAGTCATCATGCCTGACCTCCTATATGGGTCTAACGCCTTCTCTTCCTCCCTCAAGGTTTCGCAGCTTGATCGCCTTCAGGTCCTGCAGAACCGAGCGGCGAGAGCGGTATACGGTTTGCCGCCTCACACCTCGGCTCAGCCTCTGCTCGAACGGATGTCCCTGTACAGAGTTCGGGAGTGCTACGCCCAGAAGCGGCTCGTCCTGGTGTGGCGCTGTGTCAATGGGAAAGCCAGCAGTGTCCTCCAGGACCTATTCTCACCATCAGCTGGCAGCACCACCCGGCACCAGGTTTCCAGGGGCCTCACTGTCCCCTCGGCACAGTCAGAAGCCGGCAGATCTCGCCTGGCCTTTCAGGCAGCCTTGGCCTGGAACGCTCTCCCAAGGAGTGTAAGGGAGATCAAGGCTGCCCAGCAATTTAAGCTTGCCTCCATCCCCTACACCTTGCAATGAATGCTCTGTCTGACTTTTCCCGTCCACACACCACGTCATTTACTCTTCTCTGCGTGCTTGTGCGCTTATGAACTCTTTGTGTTCCCTCTGTTGACGCTTCAAAATCGCTCTATTGACACTGCAAAATCGCTCTGTTGACGCTACAAAATTGCTTATCATCTCCCTCCCTCCCTCCCCCCCCCCCTCTCTCTCTCTCTCTCTCTCTCTCTCTCTCTCTCTCTCTCTCTCTCTCCGTAGCTCTCTCCCTTTTGAAATTCGCTTCCATAGAATTGGGCACCATTGCCCGTTTGGCCTGCGAAGCAAAATAAAAATCAACAACAATACACGGTGTCTCAACTGCACATAGACTGTAATACAGTCAGACCTCGCATAACTGCACACAACCGTTTTCCACAAAAATATCCGGATAGGCGAGGGAACCGGATAATCGAACACACATACTGTATGTATGCATGACATATGCTGTAAATCGGTAAGCAACGATTTTCTTCCGGATGACGAGGGATCCGGATAAAAGAGGACCGGAGAAGCGAAGTCTGACTGTACTTAAAAAAATAAGGACTGTCTAGGCTAGGAGGCTGATTTTTTTAATCAAAACCCACGATTTATCCTTTGCTTTTTGGCCTTGTGGTTGTGAATGCTGTCTGCTGACCATGAAATTGTGAGTTCAAATCCCAACCTATCTTCAAGTCAAACTTTTTTTCATTGTTTTGCTGATCAAGCTGACAAAGAAGGTGGCTGCGCCACATGCACACGACGTGTTGTTGGAGCTCACGCTTCCTGCCGAACTGACTGACATTTGACTGGCTCACGCCATGTAAACACACCCACAACACCGAAACGGTGCGAGTGAATACGGAAGTTATTGCGCTGTAGCTACGTGTTGAATACACCGGCACATCGATCGATTTCTTTTTGAGAATTATTTCAGTATTTCAAGATCGCCAATTGATTTGAATTTAGGAGTCACCGCCATCTTCTATCAGCTTTCAGAGGCGTCCGCTTTTCTCAAAAATGTCGTCAAAGTCACACGGATATCTTTGCCAAGTCATGGCCTTGGGAATTAAGTCTGTGTCGATGTCGTTTTCGTCACATCGTGAGAGTCAATTGCATCGCAGCTCAAAGGTACTATTTAGTCACAAAACGAATTGGGACCCATGCTGCTCGTCAACATTCACCGCACTTTCGACATGTCCTCTCTGAATCCATATCGATACGAGGAAGAACTCGTTTGTTGTAAACCTGACGTACATCATGTACCGACGCGAGGTGTCATTTTTCATGCTTTCGCGCGGAATATTTCTTCGAGTTCACAGTGAGTTTTTTCCAGGCAGCGCTCGAGCGCTCATACGGTAAGGCGCAAATACCCGGGCGATCACCAGGATTGCTCATCTTTTTGAAACTGACTGTAGGACCAAGGGGTGTTACTTCCAGTCAAATAACCCTTGATAAGACTCTGGATAAGACCCTGGATAAGGAGACCAAATGTACACTGGCAGCGACCGCATTTAAGGGTTCCCCCTGAGTGGTCACCTTAGATACCGTATTTCCCCGAAAGTTAGTACGTACTAACTTTCGAACTTAGCAGCCACACGAGTACTAACTTTCGGGGGTGGTACTAGCTTTCGGGGAGTACTTTTTTATCGGGGGTAAATGACACGCAGTGGGAAGCCTGCGCAAATCTAGTGTCCGTGCATATGATGTACATGTATGTACTGTACGGTGTCTGTACATGTAGGACGGGTACGAACTTACTTACTATCTTTCGGGGGGAACTGTCTTTCGGGGTGATAACCTCGGCAGTGGAAAGTGTATTTTTTATAGGGGGTACTAAGTCATTGGGGAGAACTTACTTACGGGGAAATACGGTAGTCTCCACTCTACAGTACAATGATGAGACAACACTTTAGTAGAGATAGCAAGTAACTTTGTAAGGTCCGGAACTTCGAATCACATGCATTTTGATGGGTGAAAGGAATGGATATGGCATGCGATGTCACTAGCTCCACAAAAGTGACCAAAGAGTTGTAATATTTCCACTCAAATTCGGCCGAAGGGTGCCCGGTAGACCGAAAATGCCCGTAACTTCAGTGTCCGGATACCCGAGGTAGGAGTGTAAGCAAATGATGAAATGCTATGGCATGCAAATACTGTTAAGTACAGCCAGAGCGGCCCATCTCGCGAGAGCGCCCCACCTTGATTTTACAGGCAGAGAAAGGAAAATCGTATGGCAAAGTGCAACAAAGTTTGTACGGTGTGAGAACCTTAGGCTGCATTCAGACACGGTACAAAACGGCATACAAGCATCATGTTCTTTGAAGTTGGTATGGAAACATGCTCGAAAAGTGAAAAATCACATCAACGTTCAAAGCCATCCCGGAGCGGCTTTGAAGGCGGCTTTGAAAACGGATTTCGGCTTTTAGTTTTCAGGGAAGTCGAAACGAGTGGTTTGGTGTGTCGAGTGCGCAGAGTTTTTGTTAGTTTTGGAGAGACCGGTACCATGCCTCGAGTT